TGACGTTGATGTGGGGATTTCGCCTGGTAAATTAATGTATAGTTACCAATGACTTGGAGATTCTGTAGTCATGATTAATTTAATGAGGTATGGACTTATTTTCATCGTTTGATACATTGAATTAAAGATTTACTATACTATTTGATTGGTTTTGATACACACCCTATGATAAATCGTTTTCAATTCATACTTCATATGCTAATATACTGTAGAAAAAACCGCTTAATATGCCATGACTCATTTTCATCAACTAATATACTAATTTAAAGATTTACTATACTATTTGATTGACTTAAATACACACCACATGATAAGTTGTGTGCAGTTCATACGTAATATGTTAATATACTTTTTTTTTTAATCGCTTAATAAAAGAAATAATTTGTAGCTATTAATTGATATATATATATATATATATATATATATTACTATTTTTAATCAGCGTGACACCTGAAACACATCACCCAACCAGTCTAACCGTTATATACACACAGTGATATATATTTTTTTTACTTGGCAATCATTTTCAAATTTGGGTTTTATTTGAATGTTGAGAATTAGGTGGGTTTTTATCTAAGAAATAAGAGTTATAAGGATTTATATCTAAAGAACCCTTCTTTTTATAGTAAAAATAGTAGTTTAGTAGAAAATAATTGATTGTAGACAACTTGTTCAAAGCATCTATTGATTATGTGAATTCTTGTTGGCCTCCTAGTCTTGTTCACATTATGATTACAAATTTACAATGGCACACGATGAAACGACTTCAAAGTCTAAACGCACCACAAATAAGGGACTCTCATTCTCGTTATCTTTGTTGGGACAAAATTTACCCTAAAAAAAAACCTATTTTCTAACATCATATTTTATTTTCAGAGTCGTCATGATGCAAGTTTCAGGAAAACTCCATTAAGTGGAATTGAAGGCTCCACAATCAATTATTTTCTACTAAAGTACTACACACACACACACAGAGATATATATATATATATATATATATATATATATATATATATCATACTTTACGAATTATCATCATTGTATTTCACATATAAATCTCAATTTGTTCAACCTCTAACATACAAAGATCATATGGTCAGGAAAAGAAAGATTACATGACAATGAAAAAGAAACTATAGCTCCACTTGCAGAACAAACTAAAAATTTGACAAAATAATTAAAATGCAACACGTTACTAAACTAAGAACTATTAAATTATATGAGTCATTTTAGTTTTGGTCTCTAGTCAACCTAATTTTTTTTTTTTGAGTAAACGATATTATCTACACTAAGGGAGTGGAGGAGTGGCTAAGTCTCACATTGGGCTAGCAATAATGTGGTTCAAATTCGCCTTTAGCGAGAATTGAATCTAAGACATCTCACTTACAAGTGAAGAGAAATATTACTATATTGTAGTACTAAGTGGATAGTCAACCTAATTGTTAGAATGAAACTTTATTTGTTTAAATAGTTTGATCAAGGTCCCTAGCATTATTTAAGGGATTTAACTCATGCATTTATGCATTTAATACCCACGAAATTTTATTTGAACCCATGTAACCTCTTTCTACACCTAACTTACTCGCTACACCCATTATTTTTAATTAAAGAATTAATATCTTTTTAAACCCAAATTTATTACCTAAATTACTCTCCCATACCCAATTCAATATGTTAATTTATCTTTACACTCATTATAAAAGAGAGACTTAGGATGCGGTCCCTAATTACCAATGTTCTTTGACTAAAACCTTGGTGGTTTTCAGTTTGTGATTGAAGTCCTGACATTAATATAATAATGTATTTCTATGTAGGTTATTATATTTTTAAATTAAAAATTAAAATTTGTAGTTGTAGTTGTTTATATTAATGAGATTTTAAATAAAATCCATAATTTATGAGATTAAAAATATTAAAGGATAAATTAGACTCTCCAAGATATTGTGTTTATATATATATATATATATATATATATATATATATATATATATAAACATGGTACGTTCGTAAAGTTAACCAAAAAACTATTGTACCAAAACATGGGTACATTTTTCAAAAACACAAAAAATAAAAATAAAAGATACTAGGCTTAATAACATCACGAAATTTCTTCCATTAAAATTGACATGGATACATTCTCAAATCAATGAAATAGAATGTACCCATATAAGTTTAAAAACTAGATTAGAACAAAATTGAATGGATTATATATATATATATATATATAAAAATAGAGGGTACAGTACAAAAAACTACCTCAACTATTGGTCTCACGACACTTTCATACCTCATCTTTTAAATTGACAATGACATATCTCATCTTATGAATTTGTGCCAATGTCATACCTCCATCAGTTTTTCTATTAATTTCTCAGTTAAATGCTGACGTTGCTTGATTCAGGATCCATTTTTTATTAAAAAATTATTAAAAACTAAAAAAGAACATTTAATATTTTTAAAATATTAAAATTATAAAGAAAAGTGGGGTCTGGATCAAGCCACGTCAGCATTTAACTGACAAATTAACGGCAGGCTAACGAAATGTATAACATTAGCACAATTTCATAAGATGAGGTATGACATTGTCAATTTTAAAAGATGAGGTATGAAAGTGTTGTGAGACCTATAGTTGAGGTAGTTTTTTATACTTTACCCCAAAAAAAAAGGGTACATTTATATTGAAAAAAGGTACATTTTACATATAGCAAATTGGTATATTTAAGAAAGGGTACATTTAAGATTAAAAATTTGAAAATCTTTTCATAAAAAATTAATGGGTAAAACTTATTCTAATCTTTTTTTTTTTTTTTGGAAATGTTTTGCATTTAAAATTAATTAGGAGTTTAATAAGGATGTGAGTATTAAATTCTAAATCAATTACTAATTTTTGTTTTAAAAAAAATTATGTAACTGATATGTAAATTCAATAATACATTCATGATGAATGTAAAACAAGGATTTGAAGACTAAATCCCAACTAACTAAAGCAAAACATGCAAATTGAAATAAAAAAAAAATACATGTTTTTACAAATGACGTGATCGAGGTACTTTGTAACTCGAGTTTACCTTTCCATGGAAATAGGAGCTCTTCAACTTCAAATTAAAGAGGAACTATCTTGTAAGTGAGTATTTATCATTAATAACCAAAATTTAACACTCAAATTCATAAATGTCATTCTTTATAAAAACTCTCAAATATATCAGAAAACTCACATAGGAGAAAAAGAGAAACTATCCCGTACTGCCATATGGTTGAGCCAATGATGAAGACAGTAGGAGAAAAAGAGTGATTCGCCCCCCCCTCCCCTTCCCCTCCCATAGTCTTGTACCCATGAGAAAGGCTTTTAATGGTACCTTCATTGTTGGCAGCAATTTTTGTTTTTGGTGGTTACGACAAGGAAGTTGGGAACGATGATATGGATGAGGACTGTCTAGATCTTATTGCTTATCGTTGTTGGTTCTTGGCTAACCCAGAATTTTTTACTTTACGTTTATTTGGTTTTAATTATGAGGGTATTTAAGTTTATTTAAGTGGATTTTCTGTTATTTTTTTAATGATTTTATTAAAAAAAATGACATTTATGAAATTGAGTGTTAAATTTTGGCTATTATTGATAAAAACTCCTCCTCTGTGGTACGTTCTTAAAAGTAGCCTACATCAGATCAATGTGGTACTTTCTTAAAAGTAGCCCACATCAAATCAACGTATAGTGAAAACTGCGCCATGACAAATAACGTTTCCGGCAAGCAAGTGATCGCGTAAACGGATAACGCAATGTGCGCAAAAACAAATCAACATGGAAGCTATAGACACAAACAGTGACATTAACCCTGCCAAAAGGTTTCTAGGCAGGGCCTCTACGATGATCATTTCAAGTGGGTAAGATTGCCGGTTTAAGATGATCATGCCAGAGAATTAGGCCATCTTCAACCGAAGGATCCAGAGGGTCAGAAGGCTGAAAATAGTCCGAAAACCGTCTCCAACTGAGGGCTAGGCCAAAGGGCTCATGGGCCCCACGAAATCTGAAAAGGCCAAAAGGCTGGCCAAAAATGTGAGCATTCTTGTCAGATATAACCGACAATATTATTATTGATCCTGTCGGTTATATCCGACATGAATGTTTAAACAAATTTTTGAATCCAACGGCTAGCTAACGCTAGTTATCGTTGGATTCAATTTTTTTTTTAATTTTTTTTTTGGTTTTTTGGGCCTTTTTTTTTAATTCTTAAAAATTCTAATTTTTTTTCCTATAAACACCTAAACCATTCATTCACCATTCCTCACAAATTTTTCACCATTCCTACACCATTTCAATTCTCATATTTTCTTACCTCTTTCAAAAATCTTTCCTTCAATGTTGATTATGGATATTAAATTTAAGTTGTTGTAGTTTTAAAATTTAAGTTAATGTTGTTTTTGAATTTATTTTGTAGTTTTTAAATTTAAGTTGTAGTTTTTAAAATTTAAGTTGTAGTTTTTAAATATAACTTGTAGTTTTTAAATTTAAGTTGTTATTGTTTTTAAATTTAAGTTGTTGTAGTTTTTAAATTTAAATAATAAATTATGTTTGGCCCTTTGGCCCTCGGTTGGAGACGGTTTTTTGTGACAGGGCTAAAACGAGTCATATGGCCCTCGGTTGGAGATGAAGGCCAATATGGACATGTACTGTTCATTAAAATATTAATATCTTGGAGGGTCAGAGGGTTAAAACAAGTCATCTGGTCAGCCTTCAGTTGGAGATAGCCTTACTTGATTTACAGACTTGAAAGATGAAAATAATTTATCCCTTGAAAGATGAAAATAATTTATCCCGCTTCTTTTTTTTTCTTTATATATATATGTGTGTGTGTGTGTGTGTGTGTGTGTGTGTGTGTGAAAAGTAGTGTGGCTGACGATCACCAGGATATAGTGTACGCATAAGAAGGCATCTTTTAGCGTGGTCTGGAGAGCAGCCTAGAAGTTCAGAAGCAAAAATAAACAACATAAGAGTGCTTTGT